GTGTCCGGGTGTGCAGGTGCGCGGTGTGCAGGTGAGTGGTGTGCAGGTGTGCGGTGTGTGGTGTGCAGGTGTGCGGTGTGCAGGTGCACGGTGTGCAGGTGTGCGGTGTGCAGGTGCGCAGTGTGCAGGTGTGCAGCATGCAGGTGTGCGGTGTGCAGGTGTGTGGCGTGCAGGTGTGCGGTGTCCAGGTGTGCAGGTGCGCGGTGTGCAGGTGCGCGGTGTGCAGGTGTGCAGGTGCTGCACATCCCCTGCCATGGGCCCGCGGGTATCTCCCAGCCTGGCCTCGCCGCCCTGCAGTCTTTCCCGAACTGCTGAGCTCAGGACGGGGAGTAGGTGTGATGAAGAGATGGGCTGTAGACGGCTGAGCACATGCTCACCTGTGCTGGTGGCCACAGGCCTTCCACCTGTCACAGCGGGCCTGCCTTTCGTGGGCACAGGGTCCTGCCGACAGCCCGTGTGGCTGCCCTTCCATCTGCCTGATGCCGCAATCGGCCTCCCTCGCCTCCTGGGCCAGCAGTGCCTGTGTTTGCGGATGCCCTCGAGTCAGCCCGGTGTCGGACTTTAATTCTGACTCGTGGTGTCGTTTAGCCCCGTCTCAGCATGATTGGGGAATTTACATCACGCTAATGAACTCCCGCGGTGGGCGAATGGCTTGCTGTAGTGAGTCTGTGCGCACAGTAACCTGGCCGTGCCGGCTAATTCCCGGCTCATTTCACAGCGTCTCACGGTGGCTCAGTGTCGAGGCAATGATCTCCGCGCTGCCCAACCTCAGAGCGCCCGAGACTGGTGCTGCGAGCGCACGAGCTCGGGCCAGACCCACTAACCTGCTCGTTCCCCCACGTCCTCACTCCAGGGCCGGGTGATCGGGTTTCATGTCCTCGGACCCAGTGCTGGCGAGGTTACCCAGGGCTTTGCAGCCGCAATGAAGTGTGGGCTCACCAAGCAGCAGCTGGACGGCACCATCGGGATCCACCCCACCTGCGGGGAGGTAGGCGGGCTCTGGCCGGCTCTGCCTGGGGCGGCTGAGTGAGTGGGGGCACGCTGCCAGCAAGGCTCGCAGTGGGAACGCCTGTGGTGCATCCGGGTGTGTCTCCTCAAAGCGGCGTGAAGGCCGGGCAGTGGCCGTCTCCTCCCCTCCGGACAGGTGTTCACAACCTTGGACGCCACCAAGTCGTCGGGCCTGGACGCCGCCCAGGGCGCCTGCTGAGGCTAGGCCTGCTGCCGCCGTGCCCCTTGTCTCGTCACTCCCTCGGAGACACCCGCCCTACTGCTCCTGACAAGGGGCAAGGACGCCGGCTGGCAGCAGGCACTGCCTCGGTCCCTCTGACCGCGAGACGCAGCCACTGCTTCCTTGACGCCTCGGCTCGGAGCCGCGCTCGGGTGGGCCGAGGCCGAGCCCCGCGGGTCAGCACCGACTTCCCCATGGTCAGCCCCGGTTCGCGTGCCGGGTCAGCCTGTGTTCTCACCCCTGTTTCTTGTTTTTGTGAAGACATTTTCAGGTTATGAGATGACTCCAGAGCGGTGACTGCCCAGTGAGTGGGCTTGGGGTGGGGCCCACGCTGGCTGGTGGTGGCAGCTGCAGAGGGCCGGCCACACCGGGGCCACTCTGCCTCTGCCAGGGGGCCTCTTATCAGTGGGCCGCTCCTGTCCCTGCCGGCCTCCTCCTGGGTCTGTGAGCCCTCCCGAAGGCAGCAGGGGCCGGGTCAACTTTCACCCCAGGAAGCAGCACCTCTGTCCTCATCAGGGTCCACAGCTTGCTCCACTGGGATGGGGCCGGCAGGCGGGGCCTCCTCGCAGCTAGTGAGACCTGCCCCTCCTGCCCCACCTCCCGGCCCTGCAGCTCCAGCCGCTCTGATGTTCTGCCGGGTCCCCCTCCCTGGCTCTGTGGAGAGCTTGGGGTGCCCTGGAGGGGCAGGTCAGCCCCCGCCCTGCCTCGGCCTCCTTCAGGCTACCCCTGCTCCTGCCCGGTGGGCCGGGCTGTGGTGGTGCTCCCCCTTCACCTGGAGGAAAGCGGCAGGTCTCTCCAGGGACCGTTGCCACTTGGCGGCCGTGCCTGGGGCAGGCGTCGGTGCCCTGTTGCTCTCGGCCCTCTGGTTGTCGGGTTGTTGCTATAGTGTGCGCGCACAGTCGTGGGAGGGACAGACAAAGTGAGAAATCACCGCCGGGGCATGGCCACCCCGCATTCGTCCCCCTCCGTTCTCCTCTCGGGATCTTGGACGTGCACACGCACGTGCCCGGCCTATGTTCTAAGGCACCAGGTCTGGGACTCGAACCATGGTTGACTATGTAGGAGTCTAGCAGCGGAACCGTTACGCCACCTTCTGGTCCTTTGACCACAGGCAGCCCATGTGGCTCACAGCTGTCGCATGGAGCAAGGCGGACATGCACTTCCTGCCACCCCAGAGAGCCCACGGGGCTCCACCCAGGCCCAGCCACCAGGACGCAGCCCCGGGGCCTGGACCTACGCAGACCAGGACCTAGCATCCTGCCCTGTGCAGCCGGGGCTCTGGGCCGTGTGTGGATGGCACCATGGCTGTTTGGACTCCAGGGAAAATGTGTGAACACGCGGTGGGCGGCAGGGGCAGGCAGTCCACAGGCAGAGGAGTCGCCCGTGGGCTTTCCCGACCCCACTTCACCTGTGCTTGCCGGGCTTCACAGAGGCACAGCTTGGGGCCGGCAGGTGGCGTAGTGGCTCAGGCACTGGATCCCCACGAGGTCGACTGCCATTCGCATCACAGACCCAGTGCCTGAAACAGACCAGGCGCGCGTGTGTGCCCAAAATCCTGAGAGGAGAATGGCGGGATGCGGCGGGGCCGCCCCCCCGGGGTGATTTCTCACTTTCTGTCTCTGTCTATCTCTGTCTCTCCAGCAAGCACATGTGCCCTATTACAAAAATCCCCCCCCCCCAAAAAGAAAAGAAAAAAGCCAGAATCACAGGCCAGCCAGTGGCAATTAAGGTGACTAAGGCAGCTGGGTCCCACATGGCCAACCATACGATTCAGGTCCTAGACCCAGCAAATTGAAAATCACTCCAGACACGTGTACGCGTGCAGAGTGGGCGAGAAGGGGTCACGGCATGACTGGCCGTCCAGGGTGACTCCTCGCTTCTCTCTCTCTGTATCTTTAGGGAGCACATTCACCCTCTAGGCCGTGTAAGGGGGGGGGGTGGCAGGTGGTTAAGGTACTGAACTTCCATGTGGCTGACTGTGGTTCGAGTCCTGGACCTGACAGCTTCGAATCATGCCGGGCACGTGTGCATCCATGCCCAAGGTCGGAGAAGAGTAGAGTCAATTGCCGCGTGGCCGGTCCCCCGGGATGCTTTCTCACGTTCGCTGTCTCTAGTGAGTGCACGCACCCCGTCACAGTCTGTACAAGAGGAAAAGCCAGATCCCTCATGTGGAAGATGGTGGCTCACTCTGGAAGGGTTCGGCAGCTCCTTTAACCAGAAACAACCGGCCGCCTGGCCCCGCGCCCTGGTGTACGTCCCAGAGAAACGGCTGCGGGGCGGGCCAGGCTGCGGGTACCGGGAGCAGTGTTACTGCCTCGGCTGGCCCGCTGCCGCGCCGGCACTGGCCAGGCCGACAGCTGTGCACTCACGTCGGACCACGGCTGCATCAGGCCCGGGCTGGGCGTCGCCCAGGGGACCACAGCGAGGAGAGCACAATGCGGGTCCTACCTGCAGAACTTCGGGAATGCCAGGCTTCTAGCCACGGGGACAGAGCTGTGGTTGCCAGCGCTAGCCCAGGGCGAGGGCGAACGTGACGGTGGCAGGGTGGCCTGAGGGGGCCTCGTGGAGGAGGTTCCACCGAGGTCCTTCATGGTGGTTACACGAAGCTACATAGGTGAGAGGACTCCAGCGCGATGGGCACACACTCATGCCCACACGTGCGCACACGTGGGGGTGTCTAACTGGGACACGGCACGGCACGGCAGCAGGGCTGGGCGGAGAGGCCACCCTGACCACGCTGACGCCGCCTCTTGTGTTCAGCCATGGCTGAGCAGTGAGCCACGGCCTGACCCCTCCGTGATGGACTCGAAAGCCCACAAGGCGTGTGAGCAGCACAAGTGCAGGGTCAGGGCCCAGGAGACGTTCGCCAAGAAGTGCCCCTACAGGTGCGGGAGGTTGTACAGGCATGTGAGGTTGTACAGGTGTGGGAGGTGCCCCTACGGGTGCGGGAGGTTTACAGGTGTGTCAGGTTGTACGGGTGCGGGAGGTGCCCCTACGGGTGCGGGAGGTTGTACAGGTGTGGGAGGAGCCCGTACGGGCATGGGAGGAGAGGTGCCCGGCAGGTGTGGCAAGTGTCCACGGAGGCCCCAGGTCCCTGTGCAAGTGTCCACACAGGTATGAGAGCCCAGGCCCCAGGCCCTTGCCTGCCCTGCAGGGTCCTCGTGTGCTCTGGGCTGGGCTCCATCGCAGGCCTGTTGCCGTGAGGCCCACGGTGGGCTGGGAGTGCTGCAGCCTGAGTGTCTGTGCCGTCGTAGGTTCTCTTGGCTGACAGAGCCCACCCTGGAGTCCCCGCAGCCCTGGGCGGCCATGACCAACTCGGCCAAAGAGCAGCTGCCCCTGCAGAAGAGGCTGGTGCCCACAAGGTCCATCCCGGTCCGAGGGTGAGCACCTGCCTGTGGGAGGCCCGGCCAGCTGCTGCCCCCATGGCCTGGCCCTCCGTGATGGACTCTAGAGGCAGACGCTCTGGGCGCCCCCGTGCTCCATTTTTAAACTGGGGAAACTGAGGCCCAGAAAGGGATGCCCGGTGGTGGTTCCCACAGCCAGGCAGCTTCCAGGCAGGGGCATGACCGACCTCCTGGGGCAGGGCTCACCCTTGTCCTCTGCACGTCAGAACCACGGCAGCGAAGCAGGCACGTTTGGGGCCTGTGTGGCCTGGCTGAGCAGCTGCTTGGAGGTGGGGTGCTGGCAGAGCACCCAGTGGGAGAGCCCATGCCTGAGCACGACACACAGCACACGCACCCACTATCACCCCATACACGGGTGTGTACGGGGCAACCCAGGTGTGGCAAGTGTCCTGGACAGGCCTGCGTGCGGTAGAACTGATACACACACACGCCTCCTAACACGCACACCAAGAATCAGCCTGGGATCAGGTGCCCCTGGAAAGTCAGTGGAGGGACTGAGGACTTCCATGGCCAGGTCAGGGTGCACGGCCCCCACGGCCTCCCAATACCCCCGCCCACCCCGACATGCCACCTGCCGACCCAAGGGAATGCTGGCATGGAGGGCTTCTGGGCAAGGGCTGGTGCTCAGCACCCTGGACAGCAACTCTGTGGTCCCAGGGTGTGCACAAGCTCCCTTAACGGACACCACCTCGTGTGCACACCCGCACACACAGGTGTACACCCACACGCAGGTCCACACGTGCACAGGTGCATACCCACACGCAGGTCCACACGTGCACAGGTGTACACCCACACGCAGGTCCACACGTGCACAGGTGTATACCCACACGCAGGTCCACACGTGCACAGGTGCACACACAGGTGCATACCCACACGCAGGTCCACACATGCACAGGTGCACACGGGCAGGGGCACATGCACAGGTCCACACACAGGTGCACACGTGCAGAGGCACACCCATGTGCAGGGGCACACAAGTGCACACACACACAAGTGCACACACTGCCTGTGGCAGCCCTGGCCTTTGCCCTAGTGTCCTCCCCACTGCAGGGAGCCTCAGGCCCCAGGCTTTTGTCCCAAATCTCTGAGCTGCATGGTGGCAGCTGTGGCAAGGCTGATGTCCCTGGGTCTCAGGTTTCACTTGTGCAAAATGAGCAGCTCAGAGTCGGGCGAGGGTCTGCAGGAGCCCAGCCTGGCCAGCTGGGGTGAGGGCGGCAAGCTGAGGGCCACTGCATGGAGGGCCTCCCTCCCACACAGCCCCCAGGCTGCGTCCGATCCCTGCACTGCAGGAAGCGCGGGGTCCGCGGAGACCCCAGGTCCCAGGAAGACGACCCCAGAGCCCACCATGAGCCTGGGCCCCTGACGTGTCAGGGGCAGAAAGTGCAGTGGGCAGTGAGGCCAAGCCAGCATGGTGGTGGGCCTGCAGGTTCTGGCTTGGGCGTGGTGGGAGAGGTGTATGTGCCGTGCCCTGGCCTGCGCTGCCGGAAGGACTGGGGCAGGGCTCGGTGCCCCCCAGGTGCAGCACGCCGCTGTCTGGGCCGGCTCCAACCCAGTGCGGCCGTGTGGCTTCCCTAGGCTCGGAGCTCCAGACTTCACAGCGCCCCTGGGCTACTTGGCCCCTCCGCCCCCACAGTGCCACCTCTGGGAGCTCAAGCTGCTCATCCACCGCTTCCCCCGACTAGGCGCCCGAGAGCTCTCCCTGCCGCGCACCTGCATTGAGGCCGACCCTGACCCCTGGGCCTGCGCGGTGGCAGGGCCGGCCAGGGACCCCTCTTAGACCTCCAGCTGCTCCACCCACCTCCCAGCCTCCTGCTCCTCGGCATGTGCAGGCCGCAGCCGCAGAGACGGGTGAGGGGAACAGCCCCTGTGGCTACGGAACCTCCCGGAACCTCGTGCTAATAAACGTGGCAGGCTCGGACCCCACTCGCGTGGGCCGGTCACCGTGCCTCTGCACCCCCATGTCCCTCTGTCGAATGGCACTTCGTCTGCAGAGCTGTGCGAGAGTTCCAAGGGCGTGGCTGGGGGG